ATATTTTTTGTTTTGTTTTGTTTTTTTTTATTTGGTACGGACTTAATTATTATGAAAATTGTTTTTGGTGTATTTTTATTTAACAAGTAAAATGAGTGAACTAGATTTGCACATTTGTGGAATGTTAAAAAAAGATAAAAAGCTCAGAAGCCACGCCCTTGTTTTGTTTTGTGTCATGCGCAGTCCGGTCACTTCCACGTGATTGTCCTAAGCCAATGGGCGTTGAGATTGATCGTTATTGGTTGATTTAAAGAGGCGGTGATTCAAACCGAATCTTGAAGCTGTACGTGACGGTTGTGTGTCCGTTTCTRAGTCTCCGAGCGACTTYAAAGGTAAGTTTTTTTTAGATTTGTTGTCCTATAAATAAACGTTCGTATTAGAATTATATGTTTTGTTTGTAAAGCAGGACGAAGAACGTCAACGTTCGCTCGTGCGGTTTTGTCCGTGTCGGACTCTGGCGGTTTTCGGGGGATGTGTTTTTGTTTTCAGGCGGAAGAGGAGCTAACGTGCTAACGTTAGTTAGCCTCTTTCACACCGACTCACCGTGTTGTTTATCTGTAAACCTGCGCTGTTTATATACTGCAGGTCATTTTTGAAGAGCTGTCATGGCCGAAGCGAGTCGGTACGACTTCGACGCTCCGTCSCATGCGGTGGATTTTATGGAGCTCGTAAACGCAGAAACGGACGACGGCTGGTTCGGTATGTTTCCCAAAAATAAACCCTGCAGGGCTGTGTTTCCATCATAAACCACTTATTAACCTAAACTAGACCAAACTGCAATGAAATGTTTGTTTTTGTGTCGGTCTAACAACTAATCAACTTTTTGTGGGGAAAATAATGCTTGTTTTTCTACAGGAAGTGACGTCAAGCTCTGCAGAATGAGCAAAAAATGTTTTTATCCACAGAGCATGCCTTTTGTTTACTTTTTTTTAAGATGTCGATCAGTGGTGTCCAAAGTCTGCATGTTTTAGATGCTGCTCTGGTTCAACACAGATAAACCTAAGGAGTGTTTCATTAACAGACCTCCTCAGTTTAACATCAAGGTCTGCAGAGGCCTGCCAGGTTCAGCTGTGTTGAACCAGAGCAGCACCTAAAACATGCAGGACACCAACCTTTGACTTTAGACACCACTGATGTAGATAAAACTTTTATCCTACAACAAAATCAAATCTGCCATTAAATTCAAATGGAGCTTTAAAGGCTCTTAATAAAAACTAAAACAAAGCACAAATTATATGATCATCTCGAGTTTTAAGGAAGTTATGGATTCTTTTGTTTGGGTAATTCATAGCTGAACCAATGAGGTGTTTGTGATTTCACTTTATTTAATTTTCTATTTTTGATATTACCATAAAATTATCCACCTTTTACTTTTTTTTTTTTTTTGTCAGAAGCATCTTGAACCTAAATGCAAAAAAAATGCATCACAAAGTCCAGTACGAGTAGTAGAGAAGGTATAAAATGATGCAAAAATTCTCCAAAACTGCAACTTTTTTTTATCAACCTTTTGTCTTGAAAATCCATGAAATTAAGGAAACCTCTCAACCAATAACAGCATGCATCAACCTGTGGTGGAAAAAACAGACTTTGATGTTTCAGATAATCACATTTGGATTAAAGGCAGATAAAATAATGTGAGCTGGTCAGTTTCATTATATTCCTGTTGAATTTGATGGCAGCAGAGTTTTTCAGTTTGTAATAAAAGTGAGCAGATCACAGCTGAGATGAAAATGGTTGATGCAGCAACCCTTGATATATGTTAGTGGAGTGGGCGTGGCTACGTTGACGTGCACGCGCTGAGCTCTGTTCTGCACTGAGCCTGGACCAAATGAGTGGAGGTCAATGGACTGAGGAGTCATCCTGATGAAAAACTCATAACTTATTTCTTGCTCGATTTTTACAAACCAAATGAAGCTGAGAAAATTTAATTTTATAGTTATAGAAATTTTAAATAAGTAGTTTAAAATAAGTATTTTGGTTTCACAAGTCTCTTGAGATTTTTTTTTACTGTGTACATA